TGGATGATGTAAATAGTGCTACATTTGCCTTTCTTAATGATAAAGTAGCAAAACCATCCCAAAACCTTTATCTTTTTACGCGTAGTAATTTAGACAAGAATGTTTTCAAGGATCTCATTGAAGGTTTTTACCTGTTATTTAAAGCAGTCCTGGCTATCACTGATCTGACTGAGACACATCAGAAAAGTGTCATATCTCCAACCTTGATCAATATGTCTCGGATTTTATTTGATTGACAAGCCTTGTTAAAATATTTCTTCACAAGTATGGAAAATCAATATTTCCATTTGCAAGAAACAAAATAACAAATTTAAAAAGTCATCAGTTAAATGAAGGGAGTTGTGTAAAAATTACACCCAATGACAAGCTTGCATTAGTCCTCAGTAAATTTTATGATTTGGTTTGGAAATCAATCCCTTTTGGAGACTCCACTTTAGATTTCTTTTGTTTTATTTCTTTAAAAGCTGTGGAGACTTAAACAATTTGACTCCAAACTAAGAAAGTTAAACTGTACTATGCCAAACAAGTAAAATCTGATTTATCAATTTATCTAACTAATTTAGCTAAAGAAAAAACTTGACCTCGGACGGATAAAATATTTCCAAAAAATAATGTTCACTGTTAATCACTAAGTTCCCTTGGACAAAATTAATTTTCTATAGAAATAAAGACAAATTGGATACAGTCAAAGGCAATTGGTTTACAAATTAAATGAAACGCCATTGAATCTTACTGAATGTCTAAAAATGAAGAATCTAATGTTCCATTTTTCTCCATGATTTTTTTTGTAGATTTCAAACCTTATTATTTTATCTTTATTTTAAAATTTTGCCTTTAACAACTGGCTAAAACCATGGCTGGACGCCATCAATACTGATCCGCCATGGGTGGAAGTTCTGGTGACATAATATGGACTACACAGACATAATAAGATTATTAATTTTACCTATTAACAATGCAAAATTAAAATAAAAAAATTATAACAGGAGCGTATTTGTGAATATGATCTGTTTAACACTACAACTCTTATAAAAAATCTAAAATATACATACATATATAAATATATCTATTTCAGTTTTTAACTTCACATTTTTTATTAAAAAAAAATTATACTAAACATAATGTTTCACGCCATCATGACGATCCTCAGTAGTTACAATTCTTTGAACATATATATAAATATATATATAAGTTTTGTATAATTTTGACACAGTTTTATATCAATTTCTCGAGACAGAAGATGTCTTAAATGTATCGTTTACGGCCTGAGATTTAGCTTTCATCCTGTACCCCTTTCATTTTTACTTTACAGTCCCTTTAAACACAGATATTGAGCCTAAACCAGATATCCTTTATCTACCAAATTGTTATGTAAGTTAAATTGTGAATATAAATCTTGTATTTTTATCAAAAATCAAAATAAACAACTTCAATGATGTTGAATCTATAAAGAAATTTAAACCTAATTTTAAAATAATTTCTAATCAAAGAGAATAGAATATATATTAGAGTGGAATTTAGAAAATCCTTCGGTATGAATTTTCTCAGTCCCTTTCATCCTGAGATGGAGTTTAAAGTGTACAAATCATATAAATGTTCACAATAGAGTACAATAATACAGTATTTTCCCTAGACTATCTATTTCAATTTTTAATTTTTTAAAGCTGTTAAATAAACCTTTTAAAATGAATTAGGTGAATAAAAAACATCATTTGATTTATAGTTATAACTGAAAATCATCGTTTGTAAAGTGGAAGGCATAGAGTCTATGTGAAATGATCACTGGTCAATTATGAAACCAGCCTATTTTATAATTTGGTTTTCTTTTGATATTAATTTTAGATTTTCTATAAAATGATGTTCCAGGGCCCAAAAGGTTGTATAGCAAAAATATGTGAAACACACCTGCAGCATGGAAACAGTACAAGAATATGATTAAGCACACCTGCAGTATGGAAACAGTACAACAATATGTGAAGTACACCTGCAGTATGGAAACAGTACAACAATATGTGAAGCACACCTGCAGTATGGAAACAGTACAAAAATATTTGAAGCACACCTGCAGTATGGAAACAGTACAACAATATGTGAAGTACACCTGCAGTATGGAAACAGTACAACAATATGTGAAGCACACCTGCAGTATGGAAACAGTACAACAATATGTGAAGCACACCTGCAGTATGGAAACAGTACAACAATATGTGAAGCACACCTGCAGTATGGAAACAGTACAACAATATGTGAAGTACACCTGCAGTATGGAAACAGTACAACAATATGGCCGTTTTACACTTTTTTCTAGTAAATTCCACTCTTTGTCTCTAATTCACATCAACAGTAAAAGTAAAGTTTACTAAAAACATAGAAAATACATTTTCGTAGGAAAGGGCGGCTTCCCTTCATCATTTGTGCTTATTTTATTTAAAATTTATAAAAATGATTTCCAAATTTTTTGCTTACACAAAATTCCCACAAAACAGAACTGGATGGAGCAACTAGTTAACAAGTACAATAGTTGGTGAGTGGAATTTAATAATAGTCCAAAATTATAGATATGGCACCACTTTAAAACTGGTCTAAAACTTCTGAATGGAAAAAGTTGAGTTAAACTAATTTTAACTCTAGTCTCTGTTTGTGAGAATGTAACTATTACTTTGTTTTGGATAAAACTAGTTTCATTCACCTCTCTGTCTATGGTTAGAGATGTTAATGTTTTCATTTTTTTGAAAAACGATCGTTTCATCTTGAAAACGATGCTAAAAATCAAAAACGAAACGATTGTTTTTAAAAGTTTTTTTATGGTCGTTTTTAAACAATTGTTTTTAAAAACGATCGGTTTTAAATACGATCGTTTTTCAAAACGATCATTTTTAAATATGATCGTTCGAAGAGAGGAAACCGATCTGAAGGGCATTTGTACTTTTCATTGAGTAATTTTTAAGAAAATATCAAGAAGTTTTAGCTCCCCCACAACTGTTTAACTTCATGTAAGACCACATTCAATAAAATTGCATGTACTTTTTTTTCAAAAACAATTGTTTTTCCAAAAACGAACAGTTTTATATATAAAGTTCTTTGTTTCATTAACGTTCGTTAACATAATTGTAAATAAATTTTTTTTTAAAACAATCGTTTTTTTAAAAGTGAATATTTAAAAAAAACAATCGTTTAAAAAACAGTCGCAAATCGTTTTTATAAAAACAATCGTTTTCTAAAACGATCATTATTCGTTTTCAAATGTTTAAAACGAGTGGGTCGTTTTTAAAAACGATCGTTTTTTTCCTAGAATGAAACTATCATTTCAGGAAACGATTGAGAAACACAACAAAAAACGATCGTTTTCAAAAACGATTAACAACCCTACCGTTGATAAAAGAATACTGTGCACCTGTTCTTTTGATTAACTGGATAACTTGGATTAATAGAATAATTGTCAATACAGCTTTAGAATTAATGTAGGAATAATGAGGGAGCTCAGACCTCTCACTAATAAACCAGATTACTCAGATTACCCCAGGGGACCTGAACCACTCTTTAGCTGCCAATAGAGGAGCATCATGGTAAAGAATGAGTGCAGGGAGGGGGAGGGAGAGTTTCAGTTAATCCCCTTTTTAACATTTAATGGTCATGGGACAAGTAAGCAAAAGTTAGATAAACTACATTAGACAAGAATTTCAAAGATAAATTTACAGATAGATCATTATATAGATCAGACATTTTTTCTTTCTTGATCAGATATTTCTTAAAAAGGATATTTCTTATATCAAACATTTCATGGTCATTTTAAAGATTGAGGATTTTATATCAAAGTCTGATCTTTAATTGTCTGAGTCAGCTCAAAGTAAACATGATAAATAAAGACTAAATGCATGTTTTTATAAATGTCATAACCACAGACATAGAAGGTTATGACTTATTATTTGTATATACAGTTATAAAAAAGGGAGTGTTCGCGAAAATGAAATGGCTCATGCAAACAATTATTTATGGTGATCAATACTAATTTATTACTTCTATCTGTTACGTCTACAAGGAGAACATTTTTAAAAATGACTCTTACATAAGAACATAGCATCCATACAAATTCTAGTAGTAACATTTCAACTCCAATTGTAAAAAAATCGATTCAATTCCAAACAAATCAATCAGATATTACAACGAATAATCATTGATACTTTTTTGAAGCATTCATATATAGTTGATATTTCATAATATAGTTGTATTTGTTTTATATACAAGACAATTAAAGCTAGTTAGATGGCCACCAGGTGTCTCTGCTCTCAATGCTAAGAATGATTCCATGTGGCAGAGACAACAAGAGGAAAGAAATCGTCATTGTATATAAAACAAATAAAAAATATAATAAAATAGTAAATATATACCAATGCGTCAAAAAGTTATCGATGATTATAGGTTGTAATATATTAGAATTATTTGATTGGATTTAAATTGATTTTTTTAGGATTCAAGTCGTATGTTGCAACCTTCTGAATTTGTATGGACTATGTTTTTTGGTAAGAGTCATTTTAACAATTTTCTTCTTATAGATGCAACAGATTAGTAGCAATTACCAAAGATAATTTTTCGCCATAAGCTATATACTCCATTACATTTTTCGCAAAAACACCTTTTAAAAAACAGTAATAAAATGACCCTGTATGAAAATGTAAAGAACCCAAACAAATATTTTATTGTTTTGAAATCAGATAATCAAAATTTGACATTGTTTCATTAAGACATTTATAATTTGTTTCTTATTAAAAAAAAGAAAAGTGATATTAAGTCATAGTTAGATTTTCATTTTTCAATCTTTTTTTTAAATTATTTAATTATGAAGAAAAATCAATTATCAATTAACTTAAAATAACAATTTTCACACCTTTTCAGCTATCTATGATTTAAACTTTTTTTGCTTTTTTATATATTTTATGCAATATTTTGTTAAAGTTTTACAAAGTTTTATTAAAATTTAAGAAAGAATAACAGAAAAGAACTCAATGCAGATTGTTATTTATTCACAATGAGAGTTTAATTATGACAGCAATTATTATTGTATAAGTGTTAATTTTGAAAATAGCTAGTAATGGTTCATCATATCATCGAAGGTATCGTTAAGTTCGTCAGCTGTACGCTTAATCTTGAGTTTCTCTCTGTAAATTTCATCTTCAATATCATCAATTCTATGATTGAGCTTAGTAATGTTCATCTCACCATACTCAAACCTAAAATTAAAATAAAGAAATCAAGATTCGAATTATGACTTCTTGAATAATTTAATAGTAAAGTTTGAAATTTTTAGGTAAGATTATGTTATGAAATATTTCAAAAAAAGTTTTATATGTTGTGTGTTAATTGACTTATTTTTGATATTTTATGTGTTAATAATGTTTTATCAGTGATGAAATTGTCGGGTATATTTTCTTTGAATATCATTTACTGCTTCTATTTAAAACCATTTAAACACCAGTTTGTTAAGAATGTTTTGTTTTATTTACCCACCACCCCCCTCCCCCCAATCTTTAAAAATCATTTCCCCAAGGCATAATTCTACAAAATATATACCCCTGAAAAGTTGAAATATACCTTGCTTCTGCTGCCTTGTACTTATGCTGCAACTGGAGAATTTTATCCACAAGCTTTTCTTCTTTTTCAAGAGCTTTAGAAGCAGAGTTCTCAAGAACCTTCATGTTCTCACCCACACTTTCAAGCTCCTCCTCAACTTTCTAAGCAATTAAATAATTTTAATCCTATTTTTCGCCATTTTTTGTATTTAAAGCCATGCTGAACTGTACGAGCAACCTGATCAATAACACTATTAAGGAAGGAATTGTCCCTACTGTTAGTAAAAGAGATTTTTTTTGGAGTCAGAGTAGCAATAATGTAAAAAATGTTTCAATTGCAGTTTTTTTTAAATGTTGTGTAATATTCCTTTAAATCCTTACTGGGTATAGAGTAATTTTCAATTACCAGGGAAACTTAAATTGTGGAAAATCTATGACACCATACAAAATTCTAAGTTTTTTATTATTTTTGAAGGAAATGTTGGTGCAAAATTTAAATGTAGTTTGTACTTCTTGGGAAAGAAATAACCACTCAATAACAAATTATGACATTTTCTCCGTTTGGATTTTTTCATTAATGTTGCTCTAAAATGAAATCTGGAGATAAGAGAATTGATTCTTTGCCACAAACTCTGATTTTATAGTTCCTATTTTTTCGCAACCCAAGGTTGTATACCGTAGATATTTATTTTACCTATGAACCATGAGTTGAACCATATCCATATTTATTTTACCTATGAATTCCATTAGATCAAATAATCTAAGATTGAAATATCAAAGGTTTACACCGTCAGGTTGCAAAGATATAGGGGTTAAAAACCTTGAGCTTGTGGAAAAAGCTAAATCAAAAGCTATAAAAAATTTGTTTCCAATTTTGCTTTGTTGCATGAAAACAATCCAAAACAAAATAAACAGTTTAGACTAATGACTTTTGAAGTTAGAAAATTAATTCCTGCATTGCTGTTTGATCTATTTTAACAAAGTCAAGTGTCTTTTGCACAGAACTTAAAAAAATTCTTGACATAGTTTTTAGAAGTGTTTAGCAAGACTGCAATTTCTACCCTAGCATTAATTTATTGTAAATAAAATGCATTTTAAGACTTACTTGCAATGGACAACTTTAATTGTTTATAAAACTGAATCCTCTCACCTTGAGATTTTTCTCAGCAAGCTCTGCTCTTTCAATTCCTCGTTTTAGTTCACATTCTTGAACCCCCAGCTTTCTGGAGACTTCGTCCAACTTCTGTTCATTGTCATGTGCCATTTTAATTGTAGATCTCAAGTTTTTGTCAAGTTCCTCAATGGTAACTTCATTGTTCATGTTCTTACTCTCAACAACCTTGACAGCTTTGAGAATGGTGTCAGCGTCCCTGGAGCAAACAGCAAGCTTGGTGACGGTATCAGCCAAATTTGTTTCGGATTTCTTTGCTTCCTCCTCCATGAGCATGATTCTACGAGAGAGAGCTGCAACATCACCCTCAACCTCCTTATAAAGCTTCTCCTTCTCCTCCAGGGACTCGGTAGCTTTAAGTAGTTTGTCGTTGGTTTCATCAAATCCAATCTCAAGCTGCTGAACCTTTTTACCATAATCTCTCAGATCACAGTCAGCCTAAAGTATGATGGTAGAAAACTTTACTATTTCAGACTTTGAACATTTGATAGCAAAGCTTGAATTGGGTCTGAAACGTCATATACCAAGGATTTAAGGAATTTATTTTATCATTTTCCTCTGATGTGTAAACTTTTAGATCACTCTACTTTTATAAGACTTTTTCAGTTAGGGTGCAGAAAAATAGAAAAAAGCTGAGAATTTAAAGAATAATTAAGATAATAGTTCAAAATTTTAAGGTGAAAAAATGAATGCCCTGAAAAGTGGATTTTTTAAAAGCTAAACATATCAAATTAAAATATTTGAAACACATAGTTTACAAATTTACTTTTTTCATTATTATTTTCATTTTACATTTGACATTAACTTTTTTTGTTCAAGTCTGTTGTGATTTTGTTAGTTTGTTACTATAATGTCTTCCCTTGTGACCTCTGTCTAGAATGCCATGTATCTCTCCCTCAAACATTCCCAAGGGGTGTTACAGTGCTCTATAGGTTGCCCAGAGAGATGGGCGTTTTCAAGGTTTTCAAGTAGTTCGTTATTCATTTTGTTTGAGTTGATTCGTTTATTCGTTAAAATTGTTTGTTCAATAATATTTTTCCTTCAGTAAAAACACTATAATTGTTAAGTTTCTACAAAATGCGAACAATTGTTTTCTTTTTTCTTTTTTCTCATCTGTTTAACCATAACCCTGCTGGGTACATGAAATGTGAAAATGTTTGCAACAAAAAAAAATCCCAAAAATTATAAAATATAAATCTTTGAAAAGCCCTTGATTATGCCATTTCTAATATGCAAACAATTTTGCAAAATATTAAATAACCTGAAGTGTAATTAAGAAAAACTAAAAATGTGCAAATATCTTTTGACTGGTTGTATGCAAATAATTTGAAAAACTTTCTTTGCAAAACTTGTGCAATCTGGTTCCTTATGGCTAAGGCTTTCCAAAAAGCTAAAAGTGAGCAAAATCTAAAAAGTAGTCATTGATACAATGTCCCTCAGGCAGGCCTAAAGGGAGTGCTTTGGATATTTAGGTAAAGTCAGATAATTTTAACAGCCTCAGACCAATGTAAAAAAAACTACGGGGGGGGGGGTCAAATCGCCCCTGCAGGAATAATTTTTTATTCGTTCATTCATTGTTCTTTAATCATTCATGAACAATTTTGTTCGTTAAAGCTAAAATCAAGTGTTTTTTGTAGTTTATAAATTTAAATGTCTAGTTCTTCAAAAAAGCGTGAGTGTTATGAAACTTTGCATAATCATCATGCTTTAAAACGTTTAACCACTTTTGAAGTCCCAACTGAACAAAATCTGTTGAAAAAATCGACTTCCAACATTTTGAATTCCTGTTTGTTAGTTGGTATAAAAGTGGTGGATTTGAGACCTGATCAGCCCTGGCAGAATACTCAGCAGTAGCCTCTTCAAACCTCCTGATGGTCGCGTAAAGGCTCTCCGTCTCCCCCTTCAAGCTCTGCATCTTCTTCCTGATAGCGTCCATCCTTTCCTAGAGAGCCTGAAACAAAATGGACTGGAGGAATTGTAGATAGAGATGAGCATCATTTGTGTCAACAAACTAAATTTTTGAGGACAAAGAGAGATTTAAATGAACAATGGTGGCGTTCAGAAAAAAAAATAACAACGGACGAACAGAATCTCGGATCGTTCAGACTGTAGTTTTTAAAAAGCGAACAAACTAAAAAAACGAACGAAATATATGGAAACGATAATTTAAGAATGAGTGAAATCAATTTTTTTTAAAGATGGAAAAAACGAACAATATGGGTCGTTTACAAACGATGAACGAACGAAATAAAGAAAAAACGAACGCACACATCTCTACAAGTCTCAGACCGTAAAAAGTGAATACATTTTCGCAGTGAGTCATAGTAATTTTTTCTATCTCTAGATTTTCTAAAACATTTTGAAGAAATTTTTGAGAAACAAAATGTCAAGTGTCATTGATTGGTAATTGACAAAAGTAAAATAAATAAAATATAGATAGATATATGATAGATAGATAGTTGAATAGATAGATAGATTGATAGATAGAAAGATAGATAGATAGATAGATAGATAGATAGATAAACTTAAGATGGTTAGGATTTGAGAGGATGATTGAGCCTAATCCAATTAGAGGTTGGACAATTTATTTATCTGTCGTCAAAATAAAGAAAATAGAAAAAAGACAATTTATCTACACGCGTAGATTTATAAATTATTGTTCTTCAAGATTGCAAACTTCACAATTACATCCGGGGGATTAGCATTTTATAAAATAACTTTGGGTACTAAACTTTGCCGGCAGATCTAACAATTAGTCAGTCTAAGTTAAGAACATTTCCGTGGGTCTAACGAGTTACCCATGCTCAACATTTGAGGCAAATCGGTCAAGGGGGTTCATGTGTTATAATCGGAAATAGAAACAAACAGACAGTTTGGTGAAAGAGGGGGGATGGTTACATGTAACCCCCCCATCCAAAGGGGTCGTATAGGGGGGGGGGGGTTTACAAAACAGAGATTACTGATTTATTAATTAAAGTAAACTATTAATAAATAATTCTTAAAATGTTTGTTTGAAACGAAATAATCATTCTATCATTTTTATTTTTACAAACTCTGACCTGCTAACTTGGAAGGTGTATTACTGGCTACTGAGTGTTGTTTAAAACTAAAGAATTAAAAGAATTTGAAATCAAGCTTTCTACAATCAAACCCACAAGTATAATACTTTATTTATACACAACACTATATATGTATAGTAATTGCTGGAGGTAAATTAGTTTTTAGGCTTGTGGCTGCAGGCTTTTTTCAAACATATCCTGAAACCCATAAGTTCCCAGCTGAGCTGGGTAATTTCTTTTTTTGTTGCTTGGGTAATATACAGGGTGTCCCACGAAACATGATAGTTGGTGAATAGTATAAAATGTTTTTTTTCCATATTTTGTTAAGCTATTTGATACCAAAGAGAATAAAAAAAACAATATCATATTAAAGATAACTTTATTTCAAAGTATTTTATATTTGAGTAAAAGATTTTTTTAACGAATTAAACTGCGAAAAGTCTTTAATATCTAATACAGTATTTTCAAAACTGTCATGTTTCGTGGGACACCCTGTAATACACTTTTGCGTTGGATACTCAAAATCCCGATCATGCTTGATCTAGAATTGCCCTATGGACACTATTAATTTGAGGATCTATAAAAACTATACCTGTATTGAAATACTTTGATAGAATTAACTTCATATTCAAATATTATTTTTTAGGACATTAAGTTATCCAAAACCCTAATACGGAACAGAACGTTATGAACTTCTAATATTTTGTTATCCTTTTTTTGAAATTATTTCGGTAAATCCTGTATTACGACAAAAATATGTGACCATCTAAACAATCTCTACAAATCTACAATTCTCCTCCCCCCGCATCTCCCCTTCCCTTATTTTCTCCTAGTTCTACAACGTGATATTTTCTCCTTAAACAATGTGCAAAGCTCAAATAATTTAAATGTTTCCTTGAATGCCCTGACTAACAGGCTTTTCATACACTGGTTTTACATTGATTTTACATTTTTTTTTAATTGTTCATCAAATCAAAACTAGTTACAATAAAAAGATGATTTGAATATTTATTATTTCGTTACTATATGACTTTTGATAAAGAAATTAGTTATCTTGCAGCATTGTTTATATTTCTTTGCTTAGGAGACTCTCATACATCTTCAAAACAACTTGACTTTTTTAAATCACATGGAGGACGAATTTAATAGTTTAAAAGTTGGAATCGTATTCTACACATATTAAGTCCTATTTGCCAAATTTGCATGCAAAGGATATAATTTGATAAAAGTCTACAATAAACTACTCGTTATGCAAGCTTAATTATAATTAACGACATGTTTCTGAAATTTTCTTGACTGTAGTCATGTTGTGTGTCTGTACCAAAAGAGTGTGTGTGTGTGTGTGATAACGAACTCGTCTGCAAAGCAGTGCGATTTGCTTTCTCATGCCAGACCAACGCCATTTCCCTTCCCTTTATTCTTATTCCCTGATTCTAAAAGATATTCTCATATAAATGGAGTCATTGAAAGGTATTAAAACTGGTCAGAAACCATAAATAAAAATTGTTGAAAAAATTACTTTAGGGAAATAATTCAGAAAAATGCCGAAATATTTTTGACACTGTTTGACCTGAGCCCGCGATTCAAAAAAAAATTGGGAAAATATGGCTCTGGTCCAAGCTGTCGGGGCTTTATTCACTAGACTTGAGCTTTTGGATTCACACTGCATCTTATTTTCCACAGAGTTGAGTTCAAAAAACCGGTTTAATATTCTATTTTGTGGATTTTCATGGTAGGAATTGGCGCATTCCCAGTTTTTATGAGAACAAGACTCAACATTGAGTCTTTTTATTTGATAGTTTTTTTTCTTTTCTCCAATACGATATGCTGCAGGACGTATACCCTTTTTAACATAACACTGAATAGAAGGAAAAGTTCAGTTTTCAGGAAGTATAAAATGATAAAAGTTTAAAATATCTTTTAAAATCAGAAATACTTTGGTTTTGAGTGGTGGAAATATTGTTTAATAAATATTTGTACTTCTACTTCATCCTCACATATTATTTAAAATACCCTGCTATAAAAAATGTTTCAATAACGCTTCAATGTTTTTTTTTCAATCAATGTTGCAAACAAGCTTGGATTTTTTAAAAATGTCTCCAAAAGAGCAGCGGAGTTTTTAGAAAATTGTTTGATTTAATTTGTTGGTATATACTGAATCAAATTTGAATTATAATTCTGTATTGACTACTAAATAATTCAAGACTATTTATAAATTGTATTTTCTCCTTTTTGCTAGTTTCATAAATAGTTTCCAACTTTGATATCTTTTTTATTATTTATAGCAAAAACAATTTATTATTTTGTTGATTTTAGTTGGAATTAAAGGGAGTGTTCGCGAAAAATGAAAGGGGGTATGGGCTTAATGCGATAAAAAAGCGCTTTTCATCGCTACTAATCTTACTTCTATCTGTTGCGTCTATATGGAGAAAATTGTTAAAGACGTCTCATACCGAATAACATGGCGTCCATACAAATTGAGAAAATTGCAACATACGACTTAGACCTTAAAAAAATCAATTTAATTTCAAACAAATCATTCATATATTACAGTCTATAGTCATCAATTATCTTTCGCCACATTTATATATAGTTGATTTTTTATAATATGTTTTAATTGTTATGATTTAAGAGTTACTTATAAAAACATTTATTCCTGTTTCGAGGATTTTTGGTAATGAAGACGACATTTTCATATTTTCCAGGAATGTTCGAAAACAAGTTGTAAGCTAAATATTATTTTAAAAAACAAAATCAAAACTAGTATAAAATATCAAATATATAAAAATGTGGCAAAAGATAATCGATGACTATAGGTTGTAATATCTGAATGATTTGTTTGATATTAATTTGTTTTTTTACGGTCGTATGTTCCAACTTATTCAATTTGTATGGGCGCTACGCTGTTCGGTATGAGACGTCTTTATCAATTTTCTCCTTATAGACGCAACAGATAGAAGTAAAATTAGTAGAGATCAAAAGCGCTTTTTTATCGCATTAAGCCTATACCCCCTTTCATTTTTAGCGAACAGTCCCTTTTAAAAGTATTGAAATGTAAAAAAATCATTTTTATTTTTTATCTTTTAATTTATTTTGATGTTGTTGACAAACTCAACGTTATTAGAAAGGTATCTTTAAAACAAACTTAACGTTATCAGAAAGGTATATCTTTAAAACAAACTTAACGTTATCAGAAAGGTATCTTTAAAACAAACTCAACGTTATCAGAAAGGTATCTTTAAAACAAACTCAACGTTATCAGAAAGGTATCTTTAAAACAAACTTAACGTTATCAGAAAGGTATCTTTAAAACAAACTTAACGTTATAAGAAAGGTATCTTTAAAACAAACTTAACGTTATCAGAAAGGTTTATTTTTAAAACATAAATTAATATTTCCAACACATTCTGCATCTACATATGTTTATTGTGTTTTTCTAAAATTAAAATGTAAAAATAAACAATTGTTTTTAAAAACAATCTTTTTTTAAAAATGGTCGTTTTCAAAAATGGTCGTTTTTTGTTTTAATAAATACCAATCGTTTGAAAAAACTATCGTTTTCAAAAGCGATCAAATAAAAAACTATCGCTTTCAAAAACGATCGCTTTTAAAAAACGACCCATAGTTAACGATCTTTAACGACGACAATTTGTCAAAGGTCGTCAACGACCTTTTAAAGGAAAATACATTTTTTGGTTGGAAAATCCGAGGTTACTTTTTTTTAAACATTTCAGACAACAGTAAAATTCATAACCTTATATTTCTGAAAAATAAAGTTGTAACTAATTGTCAAAAAACTCAGACTCATTATATCGAATATTTTTTAGCAAAAAAAATACAAACGAAATGAAAAACTATCATTTTTTCGATCGTTTGAGCCTTCAAGGGAGCTTTTTCTCATGATAAAATAAAATTATTTTATTTTTTTGCAAGTCATGTAATGTTTCATTTATTCATTCATTGTTAGTACATCATTCTCATCCTTTCTACTCCCCCATATATATATTTTAGGGATAGTACAGAAATAATATAAGAAATAATATGAACATTAAATAATGTGATGCGGTGTGAACCACAAAATAGTGTCAAAATAATAAAATGAATTTTCGTTATTTTGGTTCAAATTAAATTCTTTTCTGAATGAAACCTTTTAAAATTGGAAAGAAACATTTTTTATAATTGTGCATATATATATGCAACTTATTGATATATTGATTATGAGTTATGAATTAATGGGAAATAAATTGTATAAATTTTTTACTTTTTTTACAATTTCGTGCATTTTGTATACGTCGTCTTCAGATAAATCTTTTATTTCGGAAATTTTATATAAATAGATAAATGGAATATCTTAAAGGAACAAGACATTTTATAGCTTGCAGTAATTCCAGGGACACCGGGTCCGTATTAGGTTGGATCAATGTTTATATAGTTAAGACTGGAGACGATATTTAAGATAAATATATTGTTTGTTCCTGATATTCATAATTCATTTAGTATCAAAACTAAGATATTTAGTATCGAGACTAAGATTTTTAGTATCAAGACTAAGATATTTAGTATTAATACTAAGATATTTATTATCAAGACTATGATATTTAGTATCAATACTAAGATATTTAGTATCAAGACTTAGATATTTAGTATCAATACTAAGATATTTAGTATCAAAACTGAGATATTTAGTATCGAGACTAAGATATTTAGTATCGAGACTAAAGTTTCTTAATTTCAGTCCCTAGCATCCGATCTTTATAAGATATAAGATATCTAGTATCAATACTAAGGTATTTAGTATAGAGACTAAGATATTTAGTATCGAGACTAAGATATTTAGTATCGAGACTAAGATATTTAGTATCGAGACTAAGATATTTAGTATCGAGACTAAGATATTTAGTATCAATATCAAGATATTTAGTATCAATACTAAGGTATTTAGTATCGAGACAAAGATATTTAGTATCAAGACTAAGATATTTAGAATCAAGACTAAGATATTTAGTATCGAGTCTAATATATTTAGTATCAATACTAAGATATTTAGTATCAATACTAAGATATTTAGTATCGAGACTAAGATATTTAGTATCAAGAC